ATAATAAGTATGCGTCAAAAAATAGTACTATACATGTGGTTTGAAAAAAAAAATAGTTTAACATATGACTCATTTCAACTATTATATATTTGTTCCTATATTTTTTCAACTCCTAGTTTCTTTCAACTCTTTCTATTTCTACAGATTCTTTCAATTTTTGTTATTATTTTGATATATAAAAGTAATGTAGAATATAATTATTTTTATTTAGTCGAGATATCATTAGATTATTTATGTCTATTTTTTTATGAATTAAGATTCATAAGAACTATTTCTTTATTCGTCTATTTATTTTTGTTACATTGATTAGAGACATGCAAATTAAAAAAATAAAACATTATATAATTGATATTGATTTAAAAAAGTAAAAAAGTAGGAGTGAGGGTGAGGGTGAGTCACACAAATATTACTATGATTTGGGACAAAAATATACTGACATAAAGGAAAATAAAAAGAAACTAAAGAAATTGAAAAAGAATAGTATAAATTATTTAAATAAAATGTGTTATTTATTAAATATAATAATTATCTTAGCAGTTTTCATTTTTTCATCTCCTTCAAGTTTCTTGCAAAGCCTTGTGGTTTTTTCCTACTCATTCAAATTTTTCCAACCCTTTCTAATTTTTTTCCAACTTCTTGTAGTTTCTTTCATCTACTTGCAATTTTTTTAATCTCTTCTAGGTTCTTCTAACATCAAACTCTGCTTTTACAACCCAAACGAACAAAGTCTTAATGACTGGGAGACAAAATCAGGGATATAAGTTAGGATTGAGTCTCATACTCTCACTCAATGCTCAAGGTAGGCAAGTTTCATTATCTTATATCATTCAAGTGGATGGGGAAGTGGACGGGAATATAGCGCATTGTATTGGGGTGGTTTGGGCTATGTGAAGGTTGGTTTCAGGGGTGTTGGGCGACAAGAAGATTGTAGCTAAGATGAAATGAATGTTGTATCGATCAGACCAGCTATGTTGTATAGTGCGAAGTGATGGACAATTAAGAAAAACCCATGTTCGAAACTGCATGTTGCCGAGTTGCACATGTTGTGTTGGATATGTAGACAGACAAAGATGGATATGATTCGGAACGAGGTTATTCAAGGATGGGTAGACGTGGCACCGGTGGAACATAAGTTGACGATGCTAGATTGAAGTGGTTTCGACAAGTGAGACGGTGAAGTGTTGATGTCCTAGTCCAGAGATGCAAGAGGCTTACGTTTGTGAGTGGGGATAGAGGAAAGGTAGATCTAAAAAGAATTGGAAGGAAGTGATTATACACACTCTAGAACTTATTCTTACTGCTTATATGACTTTAGATTAATTAGAGCATTTAGAAAACTAGGATAAAGGAAATTGAGTAGGCATTTTGGCTATATGGTAGTTATCGCATTCTTTAATGTATACTTTAGTGAAATTTGCACTGAATAGGACTAAAACATAAGTCATTTCCAAATGTAGGACTTAAACTTTTTTATTCCCTAAATAGGCCTTAATAATTTCTAGTGAGAAGAATAATGTGTTGGAACACGGGTGTACACCTACGTCGTACTAAACTGTGTTCGTTTTATGACAAGTTTTGATAATGCCAAACCGCCGTGACAATAACAAGGTTAAAGTGAGCAAAACCAAGGCGAAGGAACATGGCATGATGGTTTGAGAACCAAGAATCCAGAATCAAGAACGAAGAATTAGATTTGTATTGAGTTAGTCTTAATGTGATCAAGACCGGCACAAAATTTCAAAACTTGGCTCTCTAGGCTCATTTCATCAAAACTCTTTTTACAAACTCAAAAATGTTTTTCATAAGTTTTAATCTACCCAAAAACACTTGGAGTTCGCCCAGACCAAAAACCAAGCCATCCGGCATTTGGTTTTCAGAAACCGGCGTTCGGCTCTCGGTTTTCGGCATTGGTTTTTGGCGTCCGAACCAACCAAGTGGTTTTCAACTTTTTATGACTGGTTTTTACTACTGGGCACATTTAAATAGTTCTCCAACAAAAACGCTTCAAAAACCACCTTTCGTTTTTGGTCGTTTAGTGAAAACCATGCGAAACGGCGTAAACTTGGCTAGCCGTGGTTTTCAACTAAATGACGTGGTTTTCAAAATGTTTTACTTGATTTCTTAGCAAAATACAATAAACAAATATTTTCAATACTTGGTTTTTATTTTGGAGAACTTACATATTTGACATCAGCTAACGGCTGACTAAACCAACCATGGGTCTGGCTAAACCAGCCCAACAGCGATGTTGGTGAAACCAACAGCACTGTCTGGCTTGGGTGGCTGAAAACCATGGTTTGGCGTATTCAGAAGGTTGTCGCTACAACCTACAATCTGTAGCGACAACTCGGTTCCAACCTAAAGGTCTTTGAAGACCTTGTCGCTACATCCGAAGGGATGTCGCGACAGGTTGGATTCGGTTTTTATGTCACGTAACCGTCTTTCAAAAACCTGTCGCTACAACTCCCAGCAACAGCGCTGTCAGGCCAAACTTCCATCTTCACAAGTCAGACCTAAACAGCGATGTTCAAGCAATGAACATCGATGTAGGGACCTGACCGTTGGAAGAAATTTAAGGCTAAAACTTTCCTTGTTTGGAAGTCAACAGCCAAAACAGCGATGTAGGGGTGTTGGACATCGCTGTTGGCATGACCGTTGCTTCCCAATTTTTAAAAACCAAGCCTAGAACAGCGATGTCCAAGCCTAGGACAGCGCTGTCTAGGTGAATTTCAGCAGATCCAATTTTAATCAAATCCCACAAATTGTGCCAATCACCCCTTAAATGTTTTGGTCCGTTGGAGCCTATTTTTCCACTATAAAATGGGGTGTTTGGGTCTGTTTTAATCATCACATAACTTCACAACTTCTACTCTTTCATTGCAAATCATTCATCACTTTTTCATAGCTTTTTGAGAGCCATTTTTTGTGAAGCTTGTATTGCGTTCTTGAGCGTACTTAGTTACTCATTATCCACTCTAAAAGAGAGTATTGTTCTTGAGAGTTTTTTTGTGTTCTTAGACACTTGACAAGAGAAAGTATTTCTCTTGTTGTTCGAAGGAAGGGTTGTTTCCTTCGAAGGTTTGTTGAGGTTCGTGTGACTCGAACTCTCAAGTTGTACGGGTTTGTTAAGCACCGTTAAGCTTAACGAGATAGTAGTGTAGCTCGAGAGAGTCTCTCGGGAGGCTGGATTAGCCACAAGTTGTGGTGAACCAGGGTAAAATCGGTGTGCCTCTTACTCTTCTCTTTACTTCTC